TTTGGCGGCAAGAATCGGAGCCACTTGGGCTTGTCTAGTTGCTCACATTTGTCAAATGCATTGAGCCGGGCATATGTACCTCGCCATGTCTTGCTTTTCCCTTTTTTACGAACTGCTCGAAGCTGCGTGCAACCTGCAAAAGCACGCCGCGCAATGTAAAGCAGGGATGGTGGGATGCAGACTTCTTGCAGCGAGGTACACTTGAGAAAGGCTTCTTGCTCAATGATTCGTAAATTTCGGGGAAGGCTGAGTTGCTGCAGCTGTGAGCAGTGTGCAAAGGTTGAACCCAAAATTTCAATGACGTCCGTTTGGGACAAATCAACAGTTTGCAGCTGCTGGCAGCTCACACAGGCGGCCGATCCTATCCTGTTAAAATCTGGCGGCAGGAAGAGCGCGACAATGCCTGCTTCCAGGAAGCAGCAGTCGGGCAAGCATCGGTTTGGATATGCAGGACTACACCCTGACATACCCAAGTTGAGGTGACGCAGGGCCGTGCATCCTTGAAACACTCGAGGCCGCAATTGTGCTTGGGGGGCTAGTATATTGCCAGGGCATTGAGTCGCGCCTATTTGTGTTAGGGAGCAGCACTCCTCAAAGACCTTAGCGCCGAAATGTTTGCAGCCAGGGGCTGTCACTACTCGTAGGACCTGGCATCGGCTAAAGGCGCCGTGCAGCAGGCTAACGACCGTTTCTGGCAGGCCGACTACTTGCAGCTGTCGACAACTCCTCCACGCAGCTTCCCCTACAATCCGAATACCGTTCTCGACTATGGTGGGATTTTATCATTCCTACCACGCGGCACTCGGATAGCCTTGGCTTCCCCTTTGAGTTGCCCTTTGTGCGCTGCTTCTACAAAACATGGTTGAGCAATCACATAGTAGCAATGGTTGGCCCTCAGTTTACTCTGTATGGGGTCTGCTAGGACCTGGTGGGTGTCTGTTTGCACAAATTGCAATTCACACCCGAGGGTGCTATTGCATCCCAAGTAGGGGAGCTCTGTTAATACGGCATTTTCGAAACCCCGAAGGCATGTGCATTCGGATCTACTGCTATGGGAAGCTCCTCACCTGCCAGTGTAATGAGTGTTAGGGGCTGCGCCAACGGCCCTTCCTTGCTGGCTCGAGGGCTGGGTCCAGGCGCATCAGCTGTCATGCTCCGCTCTTGCGATTCACTAGCTTAAGCCCCTAGAAATGCAGGGCAGGAATGTTTAGTTTCGACCGGCCCACGTCAGTTGCCCTTCACTCCCTCAGCTTATGGAATGCATCTATGTATGGACTGTAAGGTGCACCAGGGTGAGCGCTTACCTGGCTGGACCCGAGCTAAGGCTCGCACCCAGACTAGATGGATTACAGGAAGGCCACAAACTGCAATGTCCAGACAGGATTACGTCAGGCTAGACCAGAGACATATCCCGTGTCCGGGATCATGTGCAGCCATGGCGGCCATCTCATTTCTGGGCATATAGCGAAGGCATTTTCTTCCGCGTAGACCCCACGCCATTTGTGCCGGCCTGGCAACTTGACAAGTCTCCTGAGCGAGGGTGGTATGGCAAGTTCTGGCAGGACTGCACAGTTCATGAAGGCCTTGACTCTAATGGTGTGGAGAGTCGGCGGGAGACTAACTTCTTTGAGGCTCGCGCAGTGCACAAAGGTAAATTCTTGAATCTCTTCAATTTGTGTGTTGGAAAGGTCAACTTGCTTGAGCAGGTGGCAATTGTTACAAGCGTGTGCTCCTATGACTGCGAAATCCTGCGTGAGTGTGAGTGTGGTTATCTCTGTAGAGCTGAGGCAACCTAGGGCCAAGTCGCTGGCAGTGGTTTGCGATGGCAGCTCGTTTGCGATGGCAGCTCGCTTGGGGAGGGAATCTCTCGCAGGGTAAATTCAGCAAGGTTGATACAGCCTCGAAAGAGGTAATGCCCAAACTTGGTGGTGCTGCTAAACTGGTTGGCAACTCCTTCAGCAGCATATACCCACTGCAAAGAACAGCGCTCCGCAAAGGCTTTGTAGCCAAACTCCCGGCAACCAGGGGCAGTGACACTGTTGAGCAGTTTACAATTTCTAAATGCGTTGTCAGAAATGCCAACGACTGTTGCCGGCAGTTTGACGATTCGGAGCTGTCGGCACGAAAGCCACGCTTCTGGGCCGATAAGTCTGATAACTGACTCAATGCTGACATGACGTAGGCGTGGCACTCCTGCGAACGCCCCTTCTGGGACTACTCCCTCTGGGTTCATGGCGACGTGGACAGCAAGCGGTATGTTGTAGATGGGACACCCTTCTAGGAGTTCCTGCGAGGGTAGGACTTCGCTGCAATCCTTAAAGATGATGCAGTATTCCATACTCTGTTGCAGTTTGTCCCAAATCGGGTCCTCTAGATAGGTCTGTGTGGCCATGTGCAAAAATTCAATTGAACACGCAAACACTTTGAGGTCAGTCACTGAGACAAGATAATCCATAACATGATCCTCAAGGTCCTCAAATCGGTCGAACTTCGCAATGCTGAGAGAGACATTTATTGTCGCGCCCGAAAGGGCACTTAGCACCAAGCGGCAGTCCATAACCGGCTCCCTTTCAGGGGGGGTGCTGGCTCCGGATGATTCGGGTGACCTACCTACAGTCGCCATTTGAGCCGATAACTTCCGACTGCGTTCGCTCAGTTCAGTTTTACCCCTCAGGACAGCTGCTAAGGCATGT